TGACTTCCAAGACCACGAGAGCTTTCCTGCCAGTCATGATGAACAACAACTATGGGCACATTGTCACCGTGGCTTCAGCAGCAGGTCATTTTGTGACTCCTTTCATGGTGGCATATTGGTAAGTTATTTTGAAATCAGCTTGCTTAGTTTTTAAAAATTTTAATTGTATCTTTTCCATCAGGAAGTACCAAGTAATTAGCTCTGACTGAATCATGAGCAATGTCTGTATGAAAGAATAGTCATGTAACTCATCAACTAATGAAAGACTCTCCTGTTTTCTCTCCCCACCAATGCAGACTTTTGCTTAGTAAAAAAGGTATCTTCTTCCCTTCTCCTTCTCTAGAATGTATTTATTCTGTGATTTCTTGTAGTGTTGTGAAGTAAACCCTTACTGAAGAGCTTTTGATCTTTTTACCATTGTGGCATTGACTGTAGAGTGTAAAATAGTATCATAGAATCATCAGGGTTGGAAGAGACCTTTGAGATCATCCAGTCCAACCATCCAGGCAATACTGCCACTGTAACCCCTAAACCACATCATCCAGTAAAAATGCATGTGTTGAACTGGGGTGCTGCTGCCTATTATCAGTTCCCAACAAACCTCTCCTGTAGAAAAGCAGGTTGGGTTAATGTTCAGGCAATGCAGTCAGATCCCTACACAACACTCACCACAGCTGGCGCAGTGAGAGGCAAGAAAGGCTCTTTTTTGCAAGGTTTTTTCCAGCAGAGTATGAGAGGGGACCCAGTGAGAGAGCACAACCACACGCTCTTTCTCCACCAGCAGCTTAAGAAGGGAAAGGAGTGGGGGGCAGAGCTAAAGGCAGGGCAAAGGGGATTGGTCTCTAGAGGAGGGGGGGTGGCCACCAGTGGTAGCAAGCCAGTGAGGGGACAGGGAAAGGTGAAACCAGGGGAAGTCCATGTGGGAGTATGTCTTTTCCCAGCAGGAGGATTACTCTGTGGTAGTTACTCACCGCTGTTGCCAGGGCAGAGGACTTGGGGATTGACTGAGAGGAGAGAGTTCATGGGATGCTACAACCCAGTGCCAGATCCAAATGCCTCTTAAACATCTGCAGGATGGTGACTGAGGGACCTATTCCAATGCCTGATCACCCTAATAGTGAGAAGATTTTTTTCTAATATCTCCTCTGAATTTCGCCTGTCTCAGTTTAAGGCCATTTCCTCTATTTCTCTTACTGTGGGCATGGCAGAAGAGACTGACCCCACCTCCATCCAACCCTCTTTCAGGGAGTTGTAGACAGCCATGAGCCTACTCTTCTCCTGACTAAACAAACCCAACCTCCCTCAGCTATTCCCTTAAGACATGTTTTACAGACCCTTCATGAGCCTTGTCTCTCTTCCCTGGACACTCTGCAGCTCCTCAATGTCCTTTTTGAAGTGAGATGCCCAGAACTGGACACAGCACTCGAGGTGTGGCCTCACCAGTGCCCAGTTCAGGGGAACAGCCACTTCTCTGTCCTGCTGGCTGATCCAGGCCAGGGTGCCGTCAGCCCTCTTGGCCACATGGGCACGCTGGCTCAGGTTCAGCTGCTGTCAGCCAGCACCCCAGGTGTCCCTTTCTGTCCCCAGCCATTCCTCACCCAGCCTCTATCACTGCATGGCTCAGGTGCAGAACCTGACACTTCACCTTCTTGAGCTTCCTGCAGCTGTGTCCTCAGCCCAATGATGAAGGCTGTCCAGGTCTCCAGCAGAGCCTTCCATCCCCTGAGCACATCAGCTCAGTGTCTTCTGCACAATTACTGAGGGTGCACTTGATCCCCGTGTCCAGACCATCCACAAAGATGTTAAACAGGACCAGCCCCAGGTGGAGCCCTGAGGACACCACAGGTGACCAACTGCCCGATGGATTTATCTCCATTCTCCACAGCACTCTGCACCCAGCCATCCTGCCAGATTTTTACCCATTGAAGAGTCCACCCACCCAAGCTGCAAGCACTCAGTTTTTCTAGGAGGATGCTGTGGCAGATGGTGTCAAACACTTTACTGAAGTCTAGATAGACCCTGGACAGACATCCACAGCCTTCCCCTCATCTACTAGGTGGGCCACTTTGTCATACAAGGAGATCAGGTTGGTCAAGCAGGGCCTTGCTTTCAAAAATCCATGTTGGCTGGGCTTGATCCCCTGGTTGTCCTGTGTGTGCCTTGTAATGGTACTCAGGATGATCTCTTCCATAACCTTGCCCACAACCAAGGTTAAGCTTACAGGCCTCCAATTCTCTGGATAATCCTTCCAACCTTTTTTGTAGATGGGTGTTACATTTGCTAACTGCCAGACAGATGAAACTTGTCCAGTTAATTAGGACTGCTGGTAGGTGATTGAAAGTGGTTTGGCAAGTTCTTTCAACAGTTCCCTCATTGCTCTGGCATGGATCCCATCAAAGGTCATAGATTTTTGAGTATCGAGTTGGCACAGCAGACCACTAACCATCTCCTCCTGGGTTATGAGCCCTTCCCTCAGCTCTCTGTCACTAACTCCCAGCTCTGGGAGCTGAGAATCCTGAGGGACAACTGGACAATATTAAAGACTGAGACAAAGAATGTATGAAGTTCCTCTGCCTTTTCCTCATCCGCTGTCGTTACACTACCTTCTGCATTCAACAAATGATGGACACATTCCTTGACCCTCCTTTTGCTGTATTTATAGAAAACTTTTTTGTTGCCTCCAAGGCCAAGTTCTAGTTGGGCTTTGGTCCTTCTGATCTTCTCCCGACGTGACCTCACAACATCTTTATAGTCCTCCCAAGTTATCTGACCCTCCATCTGGAAAGAATACATTGGTTTTTTTACCCCTGAGTTCCAGCCTAAGTTCTCTGTTTAACCAGGCTGGTCTTTTTTCCCTGACCACTTGTCTTTCAACTATATGGAGATGGGCTGCTCTTGAATATTTCACAATTTCTTTTTAAAGTGTATCCAGCCTTCCTGGACCCCTTTACCCTTCAGGACTGACTCTGTCAATCAGTGTCCTAAACAAGGCCAAGATCTGCCCACCAAAATCCAAGGTGGAAGTTCTGGTGCCCCTCTTGACTTCACCCACTATTGGAAACTCTGACATTTCATGGTCCCTTTGCCCAAGACTGCCACCAACCACCACATCAACAAGTCCTTTGTTCACAAACAACAGGTCTACCAGGGCACCTCTTCCAGTAGGTCCTCTTACTAGCTATGTTAGGAGTTTGTCTTCCAAACACTCCAGGAACCTCCTAGGCTGCTTCCTCTCTGCTGTGTTGTATTTCCAGCAGACATTTGGCAAGTTGAAGGGCTGGAAACCATGAGGCTTCTGCCAGCTGCTTGCAGAGCACCTCATCTGCCTGTTTGTCCTGGCTGGGTGCTCTATAACAGCCTCCCACCATGAGGTCCTCCGTGCTGACCTTCCCCCCGACCTTCTGCCATCATGACATCAAATTGCTTTTCTACTTGAAAGGTGTCAGGAAAATCACAGTGCAGGCACCAAAAATCCATTAAACTGTGTGTTGCCATCCTGCATCACATCCAGCCTTCCATAATGGCAGCTCCAGCTGCAGCAGTCTTCCCTGGGAACACTCCTTCTTAGAACAATCTTTTCCCGGAAATACTCCTTCTTAGAGAGTCGCTCACTGTCAGCAATGTGGGAACTCTTCAGCCAGGGATTTTACTGGGATTATGCTGCCAAATCCATAGCAGTCAATAAACTGATTCTGTGGTTTTCCTATTTTGGAGCTGATTCAAACCTCAGGCCCATACCTATTTCCACAGCAGGTTGTTCCTCGGTTCTGCTTGCATAATGCTTCTCTATTTCAAAAGTCACACAAAATTGTTACAAGATGCTCCTGTGTGGTACAATAAACAGTAGTGGGTTAATCTCCATTTCTACCCTGCTCATCTTTCCTAATTCTAGAGATTCAGGCTGCATTCCTTTTAGGAATTTTTTCTCATGTGAAAGAACAAGATGTCCATGGATTGATGCACTTCATTTGCAGTTTTCTAGGAATTCCTAACATTTGTCTGTCTGTTTGCAGCTAAAGTGCCCTTTTTTGAGATACCTGCTGTGCATTGCACAATTAATCCACAAGTTTCAATATCTAATCCACCACTACACACAGGCACAGTTAGAATAGTCCCTGCCCTGTCTCTCAGATGGATTTTATTGTTTTGTCTCCACATAGCAAGGAGCAGAAAGAGGGGTAGAGGGATAGAGAGCACATAGTGAAAATAAGGGGTATGGGTTAGGAAACAAGGTAGAGAAGAGGTGCACCAGCCCTCACCCTTCCCCTAGCCATTACCTTAAACAGCACCTGAACAACTAAGAGGCAGATGATGGTTTAGGCCATTTGCAGTGGTAGAAAGATGGAAATAGGATTTCTGCCTTCTCATTTGTACTTTCCCCCTTTCTGCAGCTCAAGCAAGTTTGCTGCAGTTGGATTTCATAAAGCTCTGACAGAGGAGCTCTCTGCCCTTGGAAAGGATGGAATCAAAACAACGTGCCTTTCTCCTGGTTTTATAAACACTGGATTTGTCAAAAACCCCAGTACCAGGTAACTCTCAATACCCTGCATTCCTGTCTTTCCTTCTTTGCATGAAGGCAGTGCATATTATCCCCAGCTTTAGGCCTCTGTTCCAGCTGGCTGTATAGCAACAGTTTGTATCATTAACTAAAGAAAATCTGCAATGTCCTTTAACCCATTTAATTGTTGCATTTGAATTACTTGAGTTTGTACATTTGTGAAGCCTCCTAGATCACCTGGTACCACTCCTTTTTATCACTGCAGCTCTTATGTGTTTGCTTTCCTGTGTAGGCTTGGAAAGATTTTGGAGATTGAAGAAGTCGTACAGGCTTTGATGGAAGGAATAGTGACCAACCAGAAAATGGTTTTCGTTCCACCACAGCTAAACATTGCTTTGCTTTCTGAAATGTAAGTACAAAGCAAAATTAAACAATGGATGTGGAAACAACAATACTACCTGAGTATACAAGGTTCAAACTTGTAACCTCTGAGTCAGCAGAAGTTCCAGAAAGAGCTGAGGACCTGCTGCTTAGTAGTGTTTGTTTCTTTATGTCAGCACTGAGGGCACAGAGGCTGAGAACATTGCTTCTAAAGGACTGTACTGCTCTCTGTATGTAAAGCAAGATTTATCCTCCCACACAACTTAATAATGCAATGCAGCTGCTCTTTTGAGGAGGTGTTTTTACCAGAGCTCCAGTTCCAAATCTGGAATTTCCATCCTAACAACTAAGTTAGATTCTCTGTTAAATCCTATAGTATCTCATGAAACACTTGGTAGTTTCTTGTTTGCTAAACCGAACACCAGACAGTGGTAAAAGTATTTTAAATCCTTTTGCAACTCCAAGAACTGCTTGTTGAAAGTGCAAGTCTGCAGAAGCATAGGCAAGTCAAAACTGATGCTGTCAAAGCACTTTGAATAACTTTACTTTTTTGATCATAATTTAGGACAGGGAAATAAAGAGACAAAGCTCTTTAAAAGGAGGAATCTTAGGAGTGAAAACTGCACCTCAGTTCTAAAATCTCGTCCTTCCACAGGCCTACTGCTTTTCAGAGCATGACATGTAATACTTAACTACATCTGTACAATATTAAAACTTCCTGGATCCTGCAGCAATACTGCAGTTCACATACTGCCCACAGATACCTGGCATTGGAACTGTCCTAAAAGGCCAAGAATGGACTTAATTAGTCAGAGATTGGTGGGAGCTATGGAAGTAATGCCCAGTTTAACACATAGTCTCAGTTCATATGTGTGATGCATTCTGCTGCCAGACCAGCTCTTCCCTCACCTGCAGTGATACTTTTTCCCATCATTTAAGTTTCTATCCCACTTTTAATTTCATGTTACTGTCTCTTCCAGGGTGTTTCCAGAGCGCGCCCTGAATGTTCTGAAGAAGATGACCACTCCAAAGTTTGATGCAGTCATTGGGCAGAGAAGCACACAGTGAAAAGAAAGAATTGATTCTCATTTCCCAGAGGCACCAGTGAAAAGGGAACGTGTGCTTAGTGTAGTTCAGCTGCCTGAATTCCAAACAGAGCTCAGGCAGGTGCTTCCAGGCCACCATTCCCAGGCACACCTAAGGGCTTATCCCACACCTGCAGCTGGAGCACAGCTGCATANCCACGTGAGTGTGTTTCATGCAGCCACCTACAGCTAAGTCCCAAATTTGAAGAGTGGTACCTCACACCCTGGCCTAAGGACTCCTTAGGAGTCCGGTTAGTGACTCTGGCCCCGTGCTTTGCCTCCTGCTGAGATGTCTCTTGTGCTTCCATGCCCTCCCTGCCTCCTCTTCCTTGGCCCCAGCACTGACTGGAGCCCTGTGCCAGGAAAAGGACAGCACCACTGAGCTGTGCAATTGGGGTCTGGCCCAAATGCTGATGTGTTAATTAAGGTTCCAAGGGAAAAGTAGGAAGAGCCTAGTTCCTAATCTTTGTGCTGCAGTCAGTGTAGTCTCCCTCAGACATGATGAGCAACAGCTCAGTTAAAAGCCCCATGATGTTGGCTAGAGATCTATGGAGCAACTTCCTCAGCTCTTCCAGCTTTTCTGCTTTTTAAAAGCACGGAAGAGTGAGGGTCCCAGAGGGATTTCATGTGCCAGGTGCACTGTGTACTCCCTGAGGGGCTGCTGCCAGCAGGGTGGGACTGCCCTGCCAGGTGACATGGGCTCTGGTCCCCAAAGCAAAAGGCATAAAGGTGAACTGCTTACAGAATTTCTAATGGCATGGACTAAAAGTCCCCACACCACTGCCACCTGGACTGTCTCCTTAGCAAAGTCTGAGGGTACTTCTTTGGAGACTGGCTCTGCCACATTTTTCCAAAGTCCTTGAATCCTACTCAGAATGTTAGGAGAATCAGCTCAACCTATGTGTCTTGGCACAAACCTAGGCCACTTACAAGGGAAAATCAGGGCTGTACTTCTCAGTGCCACTGTCTGCTAACACCAAGGCCCCAGTGGCATGACTAGGACACTACTTTTTAATGCTTGCAGGTAGTAACAGTATGCATAAAAATCCAGGCAATTTTAGGCAGCAATTCAGAACATGGATTTCTAAATGCACAGAATCTCCTGAACCCAGAAGTTCAGGATGAGGTTTTGTATTGTTTTGTGGTTTTTTACTACTTCTCCACTGAAATTAAGCATCTGAGATCACTGGTGGTTTAGAGTGTTGCAAAACTGTCTGCAAAAATTCTGACTCAACTTTTTGGTACCTTCAATCTCTCAGATTCTTTCATTCTGCATCTATTATCTGACCATGCAGTTTTTCCTTTTTCCAAGCAGGTCCCTTGCTTTGTTTGAGCTCATCATCAAGAGAATTGTAGGATTGTAGCTTTACTGCAAAACTTCTACCAGAGTATGAATAAGCTTACATTTATCCAAGAAGACAGGGGCTTCTAGGATTAAACTTATTCTTGTGCAAACTATTTCCTCTCTGTGTTCTCAGCCTTTTAATGTTCATAGCTGGTAGCCGATCATTTTCTAAATCATCACATTCAAAATGATTTTCAAGAAATATTCTAGTTAAACTGGTGCTGCAACAGGAAGATACAGTCAGTGCTCAAAAATAATCTGGTGACAATAGTTGTCAGTGGTGGAGAGAGATGGGGAGACTGATTCAGTGATCAGAATCTGATTTTATTGTGGGATATATTTGCTTATACACTATTTTAGGGAGACTAGTAATGTGTACTACAATGATTAGGTTAAAATCACATACACAAATTTATGCATATAGCAATGTCTCCTGTTGGCAGAGTTTAGTGAGATTTTCTTTTTCTGGTTAGCCTGTCTGATTTAATCTTCTAGCAATCTAGGTCTCATTTTCAAAGTTCTGTTTGCTTTTGCCAGGGCATCCTGTTATCAAATCTCTCATGTTAACCAGGTCCAAAGTCCATCATCTGTCTTGTGTCCTCCCCAAACACTGCCAAATAGTGGCAGTACTTTTATTTAAAGGAGTTCCAGACACTCATGTTCACCAGTGCCTCCCAGCTTGCTAATAATGAGGTAATCTCTAATGGGAGAAAAACTCAAAACCTGAGCAGGAGCTTGCACTAATCCTTTGATGGCCACACTGCTTTTCCATAATGAGGTGCTGCAGATTCCCTCTGCAGTGCTGACCTGGAATACAGTACATAAGGACTTTTTTGAGCATTATAGAACTGATACCTGCATTCTAAGAGAGGTGAAAATTGAAAATCGTGTAATAGCTGGCTTTAATATTATGCAGATGTGGTGGTCTGCATTTATTTTCTTTCAGTGATTTCTGTGTAGTTACACTGGAATTATACTGGCAAAATACAAGATTCAAGTTTCTCTGGTATGAAAAATAAGGAAAGGGGAAAAGCAAGTATTTATGTGTAGTTCAGTTCTCTAAATCCTCAAAGAATGCATGTGCTGTTAACACCAGTTCTGGCTGCACAGCCTAATCATTAATGTTACCTTCCCAGCTGAACATCTGCTCATGTGGCACATTTCCACTTCCATCCTCCTCTCTCTCTTAGACATTAAATTGTTCCAAAAGTCCTTTTAAACACAAATACAATTTTAAGGGGATTTTAATGAACTTGTCTGGAAGGAGGCTACATCATGATTTAGAGCAAGCAATGTAGTAGGGGCCAGAAAAAGCAAAACAAATTAGATTATTTGGTTATGATATAAAATTTTGTTGCCAAACCAAATTTTATTTCTATATCTTTTATTTTAAAGACAGCAAGCAAGCAGTATTGGGTGGCCAGGGAGTCACCACTCCACTGCACTCACAGCACATCCAGTGCTGCTTGCTTGCTTTCTTTAAAATAAAAGATATAGAAATAAAATTCAGTTTGGCTACTGAAATATTATATCAGTTATTTCCTTAGAAGTACCATTTTAGGTCACTCAGAGCTATGGTCGGTTCTGGTGCAAAAAAAACCAAACCCAACCAACAAAAATCAATCAATCAGGATACTGATTAACAGAGACACAGTTACAGCTATCAGCTTCTGAGATACTGAGATTTTCTGTGCAGGACTATGGAGACACCTTGGAAAGGAGACTCCTTTTACATGGGTCAGTTGTAATGGACATGACACTAGGAATGAGTGACTGAGAATCATTAAAATGCATCATTTTAGGAACACAGTTTATAGTCACTGTTCACATGTTCATTTTCTAGATAAAGAAATCCTAACTCACAAGGATTTTTGCCTAATCCATATGGTTAATCAGTAACCAATTTAGGGGCAGGAGAGTTTGTAGTTTATTTCATGCTCTCTCTCCTTAGGAGCAGGGAAGAGAGAAAAGGGAAGAAACATGCCAGACAGAGGTGTACTCTCCTTCAGCAGGATGACAAAAGTTGATGTAAGCCACAGGCCTATAGATAAGGAAGCAGCAGCATGGATTTTTCAGATAGTTGTTTTTCAAGACATGGATTATTTCAGTTTTGCCCTGTCACACACAACACATCTGATGCCTTGGAAGTTATGAAACCTGGGACTCTCCATGCACAGTTACATTAAACACTGACCTTCCCAAGTGCTTACAAACATAATATGGATCACAAGCAGAAAAATCCTAAAGCATGATCCTCAATACTCTAGAGGCCATTTTAGATAATGCCTGAGCTGTTCAGTGCTGAGCTACCTCAGTGCTAGCTCAAAGGCACTAAGAGATGTTTTGCTTGTATGTATGGCCCCATGATTACCTGCCACCTTGGAGCCTGGCAGTGGGTATGGCTGTGTTAGTGCAGTTGTGGACTAAGAAGTCTGGGGAAAGGACTGTTCTCCATCCAGCAGCTAACACAGGATCTCTGGAAGATGTCAAGTAACATGGTGCAAAGCTACACCCAGTGCATGACACCTTCTTGGCAAGACACAGCTACCTGGCACTCATTTTCTCTTTGAAGCTTCCTCAAGGAAGGTGTTGATGCTCCTGTGGGTTTTCACCTTGTACACATATCTGTCTCATGCTGATGTAGCTGATATTAGCACACAAAGCCACAGTCACTCAACACCTAAAGATCTTTTTCATTCAAGGTTATGTCCTGTCCCTCAGCTGCCAAGTTATGATTTGTCTTTTGGACCAAGTGAACTTCCTTTTTTTCCCTCTGAAACAGCTGAAAAAAAACAAAACAAAAAACACACACACACAAAAATCCAGCTATTTAATTTGTATCTTTTTATTTTCTTTTGAGAATTGTTACTATCAGGGAATAGCAATATTTTAAAATTTGTTGCCTTTAGAGCAGGAAGACAAACTATTGAAGTTTTACAGGTCTCTACAATTGCTAATCCAAAAAGCTTCTACAATTTTAAACTCAAGGCTTTAAGAGAATCCAGACAAATACTTTTTTTACATTTACTAAGAGGTAAAGCATTTACCAGAACAGCCACAATATATCACCAGAAATTCAGCCTCAAAGTCGGCCGACATCCAGGAAAATGTAACCTATTTCTGTCATCAGAGATTATATCTTGCCCCTGTAAAGCACTGCTTGAGGAGTTAGTGGATGCATGTATCTGAATGTATGTGTGAGCAGGAGCAGCACTATGCCAAGCACCACAATGGCAGTAAAACCAAACAATGGCACCTTTGTGGGTTGAAGGCCTGATCAAGCTATGATTGAAGTCAATCAGAGCCTTTTTGGTGGTTTCCAGGAGCATTGGATGAGAGACACAATATATTAGAAGCAGTATCACTAACTCTCAAAGCCAGAAATAAGAGCACAAAGTTCCTCATTTAGAACAGTAGTCTGCCCACTGATGACTTCTGCCTTTTCACAGGCCTTGCTTCAATCCCCAACACTTGTCTGAGAAAGCTAGAAGATAATATTTCCTCCCTTGGCACTTCTTAGGTGTCAGGCTTTCATCTTGAAGAGAACTAGTCTGGGGAAGTAAAGCAGCTGCCAGGCTGGGCACTGTGGGTACATGATGTAGAAACTCTGAGGCAAACAGGGAATATAAGTGTACACTGTGATAGAAGGGGAGGAGAAATCTGCAAAACACAAGTCTGTAAAAGTCACTTTGTCTGATTCCAGCCTTCTGGAAACTCTACATGGACAGCAACATCTCTGCCACATACATTCAGGTTGGTACCTTTCAAAAACATGGATGAACTTCAGGAGGATTGCTTGAGATTTTTATG